ATCATTCATAGCCAGACCGCATATTGTTCTGCATGACTCAACATGACAAATAGTAGCTCTGTAATCTGCACAAATTATCTAACATTCCTACAAAATAAAATAAAAAATAAAAAAGTTCAAAACAAAAAAAAAACATGGCTTCACATGCAGGCAGAAATGAAATCCTAACTGATATTTAAAGTATGTGTGTACCTAACATTCTTTTCACTTTTTTATAGTACCATTACCATGTCTGTTGCAGTATGTTTGTGCCTTGACTTCTGTTTACAACTGATTCCTAGATCTGCTTTCAGTACCGTCTGACCAACTGTGCGCCAATATTTTTTCTTTTGTTTCTCTGCCTAGCACCCTCTGAATATATAGTGATTATTAATGACAGACGAAAATCTAATTCAGAAAAAAAGGTTAGTGTTTTTTGGTAAATATTAAAATGCTTTAAAAGTCCTATATGATTTAATTTAAATAAAAGTAGAGATCACCTGACTTGTACACTTGTTTTGGTGCTTTATGTTTTTATTGCAGCGTTGTTTAACTTTTTGTGTTGAAACCATGAAACACACCGGCAGCCTCACACGTTAGTTTGTATTGTTACACAGGAGCATTATGTTGCACACATCAATAAGAACTTTACAAAAACAAAAAGGTATTATTATGCTCATAAGTGGTCTGACAGTTTTATTCCATTCAAGTAAATAGATTTGTCCTTTCAGCCATAACATCCTCAGCTGTGGAGGAAGGAACTCGTCAAATAAACATCTCTGGTGTTACAATAATAAAAGATGTAATTTGCTTGAATGTCAGTTGCATGTTGTTTGGAGGCTGTTCTTACACACACAGGTAAAGAACTATGCGATGAGTTCCTCCTTTTAAATTCTCCTCAGGTGAAGCTTTTTCTTATAAAGCCATTGTCACTGGTATTTGAGCTGAAACAACAACATAAATATAAAATTGCAAAGGAGCAAGTGCCCATATATATTCCGAACACGCCAACAATATCATGTAATGCATTAAATTTAAATAATTTATACATCACTTTTCACAATGCTCGAAAACGCTTAATGTAGGTTTTAAAAACAGAAGGCAAATAAAAGAGTGGAAATATAAAAGACATCAAAAATCATTAATCACACAACAGTGGTTCTAACATTGATCCAGTCTAATACAAGCAAAGGTCTACAGTCATCAGAAATTGCTTAAATCATTATTCAGATAATTCAGTTTTAGCCAACAGCTCAACACGAGGCAACTTCAACCGCAACGTTCTTCTGAAGGTGTTTTTAGACGAGCTTGGGGCGCCATCTAGTGGACACTCCAATTACAACGCATCAATTACTTGGTAAAGCCTCAACAAAGAGACAGGACAATGCCTAATGTCAACAAAGAGAAAGAAACCACTGATTGAACACATGAAGTATAACTGCTGCTGTATCTGCAGTGACACTGAGGAACAAACTCAGTCTGTGCAGCTGCTTCCAGGGTCTTTCCCACCTAGTGGACAGAGACAAAGACAGAGGGACACCATCAGTGAATTACACATGACCAGGGACAAACAGTGAAACAGGAATTCTGTCCAATCAAGTTTAATGTCTCTCCTTGTCTGATGCAGGAGAATAGAAAGAAGGTGAGAGGCAGCTGACTAACTACACTGAATAAGTCAAACCTCTCTAAGTGTATCATGGTATCTGCAGACACATCTGTTAACAGCTTACCTCAAAATAGCTTAATGTCATTTCCTAATAAATGAAGTTTATTGAGCTCTGTTGGCTGTTGTGTTCACCAGGACAGGGAATATGCCTGAGAAGGTTCACTGAGGATAACACACACACACACACACACACACACACACACACACACACACACACACACACACACACACACACAGAGAGAGAGACACAGGTCTTGGCTCTATCCTTATTAGGACTTGGCATTCACTTCTGTTCATTGTGAACAGCCTAATCAAAATGTTATCCCCAAAGTTCACCGTGACCAATTCATGCCTCGCCCCAACCTTAACCCAACCATAGTTCACCTCTTACCACTGAGCAGGACCACAGGAATGATGTTTTGCCTCATTAAGACATTAAGACCGGTCTTTGGTCTCCATGAGGTCCACTGATCCTGACAAAGGTCATTGTTTATGCCGGGAAAAGAACAAAAACAAATACACACTTTTAGCCCTGAATTTAAAAACGGCTACTTTATACCATAACTCAAAACTCCCAATATGAATAAATGACTGTAGGGACATTATGTGTTTTATACTAAAAACAAACTACGTGTAAATACTGGGAAAGAATACAATGAAGGATTACAATGAAAAGAGCCTGGACAAGAACAAGGAGCTGCATCAGTTCTCAGAGCAGCGAAAGTTGATCTCAGTGAATAACATTTCATAAGTAGTTTCTCTAGAGGGCGCTGAAGTTCTACATCTGAAGACACTCATCCAGCCTCTCAGAGGTGCAAAGCAACTTTAACGATTTTATTTTCATCTACCAAGCAGTTATTTTATGTATTTTTTTGCATTATTTTACTTTATTTTGTTGCGTTCATTCAAAAGCTTTTCAATGATTTTCTGCACTGACCGCTCTGATGGTTGTGATGAATGGCCAGACAAAGCTCGGATGCTTTGAATCATGGCTGCAACCATTAAGTGTGACTCGATGAGTAGTAATGACACACAAACATAGAATCTGATGCTTCCAAACCACGTCATGTCTTCATGGAGCACAACACATCATAGTGAAGCCTCTGTGTGATGACTCTTTCTGATGAAGTGTGAAAAAGCTCTCAGCATTAAAGGCCTTCAATGCAACAATGATGTCGAGATGAAACTGAAAACAAAACAGCAGAGTTATTGTAAAAATCAAGTACGGTAAAGAAGGAGAGTAAACAATTCATCAGTGACCGTAATGGACTGTGTTCACACACTCGTACAGTAATCAAATCCATTAGAGCTTTGGAAGAGCAGAGGTGCTCGAGATAAAGGTCGGCCTCTGTAGAAAATTGAAATAATCACAATTCCATTAGCTGCCCGGTGTAATTACTTAATGCACAGCGTAGAGTGTACATAAGTAGGTGGGTTTTTAGAGTGGGGGCTTCACGAGGCACCATCCTTATAATGGTGTCTTTTAATATAAAAAAAAAACTGAAATAGGGACCTGCAGACATTGTTTCATAGTGTTCATCTGTACTGTATTTTCATATGCAGCCTCATATGAAAATACAAGGATTGTAAAGAGAATTCATTAAGGAAATTCACAAATATATGAATCTGATCATGTTTATCGCACCATCATGATGTCACATGTTTGCCTTCTCACCGTTGTGTCACTGGGTCATGTTGGTGAAGCAGGTTCGGACATGCCACAGAAACCTGTATGTTAACGCTGAACCTGCTGTGGACAACAATCTGCACTTGAACAGGGAACTATCAGACCTGGATCCCTCCCCATCAGTGATGATTATCCAACAGGCCTGGCAGCCCATCACATTTACATAAACATCCATTCACTCAGCAGCAGTGTGAATGGAGGGTCGAGTACAGGACTGTTAGAGCGACGTTAGGCTCAATGTCCAAATTAGAGTGAAGATCACTGCATTTACATTGAAGCACCGTGTTTACACTGTGATGCAGTGATTTACAATGAAGTCAACAAGTTAAATGACTAAAGTTACAAGAAGCTAGAAGAAGCAAAGGACCCTAAAATAATGAGAAAGACAGAAACGTGAAAGAAGAGAAAAAGTGCATGTTAATAAAACCTAATGTGAATATTTGTTTTCGCAGTATTCCATTTGATTACAGTGGATATCATTGAACTAAAGCTATTTGAAGGTTTGGTAATATTCCCTTTAACCCCGGGTTTTACTTTTAATCTGTTGTTTTCACTAACTGTTAGATGTCTTTGCCTCTAAACCTGATTTTAACCATACTGTTACTTCTTAACTTTACTTTAATGATTCATGTGCTTAACTATGATATATTATAAGGCTTCAATGGGTAGGTGAAGAAAAACTATTTTTTATTGTTAGTAGTAGTAGTATTGGAATTATTATGTGTGGTGATCAAAATTCTCTGACATTTTGTTGACCAAACTATAAACAATAGTCATTAATAATCATTAATATAAATTATAATTAGGTGCAACCAGCAGAGTAATGTAAAAAAAATACAGAGGCACATCATTTAAAAAGGTTTAAGCTTGAGGGCAGAAAACAAAATCAAGTGGCACAACAAGCTCTGTGTGATATTAAAATGTGTTTTGTAAATGGAAAGATTCTGTAGTTCTCTTCGTAGGAGAATTGGTTTGCAGCAATAGTCACAGGACATTTCATCACAGCAATATAACAAAAACACAACAGACATTAACCAACACATCTGACATGCCTTGCTTGTGGATTAAATAACATGAAGTGAAATAAACCAGAAGTCAAATATTTTCTAAAGGCAAGTGGATAAACACAATGAGAGACATTGTGGGGACTCTTCTGTAAAATGAGCTCAGTTCTAAAATCACTTGAGCAAGAAAATGAAAGAGGACAAGTATCTACTTCGTTTTAATTTCTCCTTTAACACACACAGCCAAGTTATTATAATGTGAGGTGACGTTCTCTCATGCGGTGTTGGTGTAACGTGAGAACAATAAGAGGGTTTTCCTCTGCATCTGCTGCTGATTTGTTAATGAGCTGTGAGCATGCTGCGCTGTGATTGGCCCGTTCAGACACGAGTGGCTGTTGAAGCTTGTAAAACGAGGAGAACAGAACAGGAGAGTTCACTCACACATCTGCCTCAGACTCACTCTGTGCTCTGCTGCTGCTGCTGCTGCTGCTCAGGGCTGTGACACTAACAACCCAACCAGGATCTTTATTCATGACTGTTTCCTCTGGACTGAAGCTGCCACATCACAGGTGAGTGATGACCACTTTCACATGTTGTTTTAACTTCTTACAGAAAGACTTGAATCTGTTTTTAAAACCATTTCATCATTTCTCCTGCAGGAATTGAATCTTACAGATGAGAGGAAAAGAAATGGTGAGTTCCTTTTCTAACTTTTTTTTAATAGTAATAACCTTTATTTAAATGGCACTTCTCCAAAAACAGGTTTACTAAGTGTTTCACAGACATAAAAAGTTAAAATGCACAGAGCAATGACATCTTCATCCAGACATGTGTTTTTACTAAGTGAACAGTAAACTGTGTTGATCTAAACAGAAGATTCAACATATGTCTGCAACATCTGCCGGTGCAGCTCTGCAGCAGAAGGCCGAACTGTCAGTGATGCTTTCATTTTGTACAATTGCTTATCTAATAGGGACAGTTGATTATTTACCTCTGTTTATGCAGCAGATGGATGAGTTTAACTGTTAAGCAGACATGCACTGATTATACACATGTATTATGGGATAAATCGTTATCTCTTCTCTCATTTATATATATATATGTATATATCACATTTCCTGCTTGGTTTATGACCATGTGCCTCCTGGGTACTTTCTCAAGTTCTTGTCACATCTAGCAGAGTTATGATGAAAACAAAATGGGGCAGAAGGTCTCTGAGCAAGAGTCAGAGCTCCTCTGCTGGACAGTGTGGAGTCAGAGCAGAGAGGTCGTGCAGGTTACAGTGTTTGTGTCATGGCATCACAGGAGGAGAGAAGCTTGCTGTTGTACTGGATGTGACCTCTACGGCCACATGACGGTGTATATCCTGTGTTTCTCCTTGTTCAGAACTTTGTTAAAAAGGTTGAAAGGAGCAAACATGTAGGAAAGCTTATTTTGGTTAAAAACGTGCACAGGGTGTGTTAGTAAAGCCGTCGTTCAGGTTGACAAAAAGTATTAGGGTTACATTTTCTTCCTAAACTCTCCCTCTGTCTCACACACTGTCACATGATCTCTCATGCGCTGTTTGAGTTTGAGAGCGAGCCTCCGCCGCTCACTGGCTAATTCTGACCAATCAGCACACAGAGGAAAAAAGCAGTAGAATATACCTTACCGTCTATGTAGCTGGTGAACCTCATATAGGCAAGTGAGCTGCACCCTTAAAGAGACAGGACCCCTGTAACTAAATAAAGATCCCGTCTCTCTTGATGCACTGCAGATGTTTAAACTCAGGCCCTGGAGTTGTCGCACTTTGTATATAAATAGCTGAGATTAGATGTTAGCGCTGCTCGATCTGTAATAACATGTGTCTTAGTCGAATCACTCCTGAGTCAATGCAGGGTGTAGATCAACATGGAGTTTGCTTAACTTGTTGGTGTGGTCAAGTGAATTAACAGACGGATGAATGTGCTTTGTGTTGAAATGTGTCTGTCAGTGTGAGCGTGCCCGAGCGTGCCCATGAAGCTCTGATACTCAGCTCCTGTTATTATTAGACAGGCTTTGAATCTTTCCAGTCACCTGCATTAGCTCACTGTATCTGACTTTTGTTTGACTCTTTCCTCCTTTTGTCTCCCTCAGCTTTGCTTACAGGACTCAGGGGACTGCCTGCGGGAGCACATGCAGTACATGATGAGGTCACTACAGGACCTGAAGCAGCTGAGGAGGACCTGCCCCGCGGCCCGTCACCCTCTTGCCCCCATCGGCAACCAACTCCCGGAGTTAGCATGCCACTCAGCGATGGCACGTGCTTGTCAGCAGCGTGCGATGCAACGCGAGCGGCGCACGCGCCTGCGGATATCTGACGCCAGCACAGCCAGCACATACGACTCTGCCTGCTGCCTGGCGAGTCACCTGGAAGAAGAAGAGGAGGTGGAGGAGGACGACTCAAGCAGCCAGCTGGGTCTGAGCCTCAGACTGGGCCTGGCCTCTCCCAGCAGCCACAAGAGTCTGGAGTTTGATTCAGGATACTCTGAGGCGTCATGGCAGGAAGAAGGGGTTGTACTCAGGAGAACGAGGAACGTGCGGGTTTCTTCTTCAGCCTGCCTTCGCACAAACAGAGCGCCGAGCGGACGTATCCGACCTAAATCCACCTCCGATGCCTGCCTAGAGAGGTGGACGTCGTTTGAGGTCAGTGACCCAGAGGACTGGACAAACTCTTTATTGACCAGGGGACGCAATCGCCAGCCTCTGGTTCTTGGGGACAACAGCTTTGCAGACCTCATACAGAACTGGATGGATTTGCCAGATTTCCCCGAGCCCGCCGACCTGAAGCCGAACTCCAGAAGCAGACTGGGAAGAGGCTTCTTTGTCAACATGAGGAGGAAACTTGCCGGGATTTCTAAGAGTGTGGAGGAGAGAGTGAGGATGAGATCCACAGACTCGGCTCATCTGAACAGAAATGCAAATGCTTCAAAACGGCTGTCCTGTCCCGTCGTGGCGTCGCAGCCCAAAGTCCCCTTTTTCCACCAGTCCCACTCAGGCATCAATGAGCTGGACACAGATTTTTACCACTTCTCTGCCCTCATGAAGTCAGGCAGTCGACAGCCGATCATCTGCAAAGACATCTTTGGCTACATCTGACCAAGATGTAAAACCACATATGGACACATGGACAATCCTCAGAGTCACTTTATTTTTATACAACCGTTTTCACTTTTTATATGCTGTGATTAAACTATTGGAAATAAAATGTTTTCACATATTTTAAACTCTTCTTACTCTCATTTATATTCTTCATGATTTGCAATTCTCAGAAAACCTCTGCAGCAGTCATCTGTGTTTCATTACAGCAGATTACAGTCAGACAGTGACTCCGAGCTGCCTGATTAGTTAAAGAGGCCTTTACTGTCTCTGCATTAATGCAAATGAATGTGGGTCCATTTGTTTTCATTAGAAATGTAACACTCTGGGTGTGCATGAGTGTGGAGATGCATGGTTTAGTGTAATAAAAAGATAAATTAAAGAGGTGATAATATCTCGGATGTGCAGACTTGCCGTCTGTCTGGGACTAAAGTTGGCTAAGAGTATTTTAGAACACGTTTTGAAGCACGCTTGTTTGATTCCAGGGGACTCGCTGTTCTCAGAAAAGTTCTGGTCTTACTCAAGGCGAAGTCCAATCCTTCGGAGAGGCTTTAAAACAGGGCGACGAAACTATTTACAGACCAGAAACAGAGGCTGTATCAACACAGAGCGCTGTGCGCCTGATGAGGTAATTCCCCATGTGTCCGTGCAGAAAGAGTTGAAGGGAGGCGAAGCAGCTGGCTGCAGATGGAGCCCACGTTTACTCTCGCCTTTGCTTTACGAAGCAGAATGCCTCACTAAGAGGCCCCCACCTCATTTAACCAATGGTGGTTCTGCAGCCTCACAGGTGGTGCCAACTCATCCTCACATATCGGTCAATGGTACGATAAGTTCTGGCCTCAGAAGACAGTAAAAACATATTAATACAAGGGAGTGACATATGCACCAAGATAAGGTAATGATCACTTCACCTTTGCCTTTAGATATTCACTGTGTTCATCAATTCAGAAGAGAAATAACAGCAGACATTGGAAAGATACATTTTGTTTCCCAGGACCCCTGCTGCTCCCATCGGCCATGTATGATATCATGGGAGGTTAGAGAAGAGAGATGGTTCTTCCTGGGAGCCATTTGTCTTATAGCCTGCTTATCTAGGTCTCGTGGTGGTGGTGTGTCACTGCGGCACACTGCTGAGCTGAGTACACTGGTTCCCAGAAGTTTTCTGCAGCAATACCACTTAAACCAGGTGACTCAGAATCATTTTAGGGAAGAGGAGGAGAGGAAGAGGAAGTAAACGATCAACACAAACTTATCTGGAGTCTCCAAATCATAGTACATGCAGCTTTACTGTACTTAATGTATCAGTACTTTTCTTTAAATAAGTTTAAATTGATATATTTCTGACATTTACTAAACTACATCAGCAAATCTCTTCCACTTCCACACAACATTTTTGTATTACCTTACATGTTCACGTTGTTTTGATATTTTTTAATATCCTTCAGCAAGAGCAAAGTGCGTCAGCAGCAGCATCACAGGTGAAGAGACACCTGAAACATATTCAGAGGAGACCGCCACCCAGATCCAGTGATGAAGTGAGGCTGCAGCTCACTGGGACCACCGAGCTGTACATAGTTATTCAAATGCATGCGTGCCTCAATGTTATACAATGACAGACGTGTAGTTACTCCACTAACAAAGGATGCTTTTAAAAATGACTTACCTTTCAAACTATAAACGATCAGTGGCACCTCAGACTCTTACAGAAGTAGTTGCCACACACGGTGTCCGCAACTCTGGCTCACAAGATGATCTGCAGCAGGTCTGCTGAAGCTGAACACTCTTACAGGGTGGCCCACTCCAACACGGTGGACACACAACAAATCTCCAGTTAATTAAAAGTTTTCCTGAGGATTTTATTTCTGGTCGTCACTGATAGTCCTGAGCATGAACTCATGTTCACTAATCCCCCTGCTCCCCTCACCCATGTTGTAATTATCTCCTCAGTAAACAGAAGCAGAGGATCGGCCATGTGTTTGAGTTCAGGAAACTCCTCGTCTCTGTCATTCCTTCTGCGTTGAGGCTCTAATTAGAGCTTCTACCTGAGTCTATCTGTGCCCTGACAGTCTTATGAAGCCAGATTCAGGATTAAACTGTGGTGCTACAACAGCATCTTAAATGAATCTGTTATTAATCTCGACAGTTTCATATGTCACATTAGCTTTAAACATCTTTCCCAGAACACTGCCGGATGTTGTGGCTACAGGACGCTGTCATCCTAATCCAGTTTAGGGCTGTTGAGATGTTGTATAATTATTCCTTTGCTCTATTTTGATTTGCTCGATGTTTCCTTTTTCTCATGAGCATCTTACTCCTTCATGGCACATATAGATATGATATTCTCAGTACTGACTTTGACCTGGTGGGACAGGTCACTCTTGCTCTTGACAACAAAAACAGAGGAATATATGAAAAGCTTGGATTGTTCTTTCAATCAGAGTGCTGTGGACTGAAACACTGGGAAATTAGAATTCCATTATGTGTAAACAAGGTGACAAGAAACAAGGTGACATCATCGGATGCTTACTTGACAAAGACGTTTCCATTCATTGGAAAGGAAAATGTGGTACGTGAGGAAAATATTGGTTAAATCATGATCATTCGTTTGATGCTGATGGTAAATCATGACAGATATTGGGATATTGGTTTATAGATAACAACAAAATTACACCTAATTAAATATGAGGGGTTCTGGATAAATTCACTGCACTGACTCACTGGGCTTCTTGCATAACTTAGAGCTTCAAGGTACCATGTTGATAAAAAACCAAAAGTCCAACCTCATACTCAGAGAGTTAAATGTTTCAACAGTTGATTTATGTGTTGGACAAAAGCAGCGTTTGGTTTCCAGACCTGTCACAGAACCAGACGACGATTTAAGAGCCTGTCAACCGCACTGCCAGAAAAATGCTCTGTCACAGATAGAGATAATCAACTTATCATGGTATGTTTTCTTAACTGAAGAGGGACTACTACACACAAACTCACACACACACACACACACACACACACACACACACACACACACACACACACACACACATGCAGACTATTCCTACAAACTGGCAGACTGGGACAGGAAGTGAGGAGTGGGGGTGTTTAGCCTGCAGTCGGACAAAGAATGAATGTGATTAATGTCTTTTTTCCCCCTTTTCTTTCGTTTTTTTGGCATTGAAATGTTTAACTAAATAAATCCAGAAAGAACATTTAATATCAGATCTTTACATGTCAGCTCAGAGACCCTGGACCACCCCCCACCCCCCCATTAACTGGATTAAAAAACAATTTCCTGTGTCATTAATTCAGTTCTGCTTCTATTTCTCATCTTAATTATATCCTAACATCTGCTGGTGGACCCCTGCAGGAGAATATCTGGAATTAAAATTATGGATTATCACTGAAATTGTATTTTTTGTGGTAATTATTCTTCAAATTCGGATCTTTCCAGGATAATAAATATGAACATATGTTATTATTTGCCCCTCGCAATGTAACACAATCTAAATCCACTTAAACACCAGATTATCCTCATCTTTGTCGTGACCACGCTGTACTTTCAACAGGAAATCAGGGAAATCATCACACCAACTTTATTTAGAAACCACACAGCTGCTTTGTGCCTCTGCTCACTATAAACCGGAACAGGGGGGTTCATGGGAATCATAACAGATGACATGACATGGGCGAAATATCCCAGAAGACTTTGGTTCTCATGGCCAAACAAGGCCTCCATAGGTCAGACCCCACTTCCTCTGTTCAGCACAACACAAGAGCTTCACAAGGAATCCCACAATCCCACAGTGTAAATAAAACGGCCTCATTAAAGGTTCAAATTGCAGAATGTTTTCTGCCTGTGTCATGAATTGCTAATTTAACACTTTATCAGAAGAGGCATTATTATTCTGAATGTCTCTATATAAGGAGAAACTTTTTTATCCACATTAAACTTTTGCTTGTTTGGTTTATGTAGCTGTACTTCTGTTATTTGGCATCTATTCCTCCTCTGAATTAGCTGAAACTCAGAACCTGTCTGAACCTGCGTCGCTTCATGCCTCACTTTACCCTTTATAGCAAAACAACCATTCTGCACGTTCACAGAGGAAAGCCTTTCCTGCTGCTTGCTGCCAACGTGACGTTCCTTGGAAAAACACAGCAGTAAAGAGAACGGAAAACGCATTAGCTTCTCTGGAGACAATTAATGGGGTTTTCTATTTTTTTTCAAGAGCCTTGTTTTTCAGCACTCTCATAAAGCAGCAATTTCCCTCCTTTTCTAAAAAAAAGACAGAGGTCCACTTGGCAAGTGCGATTGTCTGAGACAATGCAACACTTTAAAAAAAAGTTGAATCTAGATGCAGCTCTCTGTAACAAGGAGATTTCTCAGGTAAACCAAGCCTGTGGAAGAAGCCAAAGGCACATATGGCGACAAACTGTCCACATTCCCTCGTGCTTTTGCTTATTTGAGGATGCAAGTCTGTGAGAGGGTCCTCGGCCCTTCCCAGTCCTTTCACAACCACATGCCCCAGTGTGTGTTTATAGCCACATAGACAAGGCATCGACTCCAGCAGCCTGATTAGGTCAAACACACACTTTCACTGCCAAACACAAATATTCACACTCCCCATACACACAAACATCGTTACATAGTTTACTCTGACACAATAGACACAGAAGGCTGCAGCCAATAAACCAGAATCTCATCTGAGGAACTTGCCCAGAGCCAAAGAGCTGAAAACAGTTGCTGCATTTTAGCGAAAAGATTTGTGGGTTTTTTTCTAATCATTGCTTTGCACTTTTTATAAATCTAATCTCTTCTTTTTGGCAGAAACATCAATTCAGCCCTGACCTATATATATATGCGCAACAAACTGACTGAATATATGCTCAGTGTCCTGTGATCTGGGGGCATAATGAAGCCTTTTTACCCAGAGTGCCCTGCGTGTGACCTTCTAGCTCCATCCTTCTGGACTGAAAATAGCTCATGTGACGTTCAAACTTTCAATGAATTATAAATAATGTTATGTGTTATTTCTTACCCAAATCTTACAGACACCAGAAGAGTTATAGACTTGAGCCATCTCGTGGTCTATTGCTGGGGGTGCAGAGATAGGCCAAGTATTTCTGTCCACGT